AGAGAGAGAGAGAGAGAGAGAGAGAGAGAGAGAGAGAGAGAGAGAGAGAGATGCAGCCCAAGCTGGCTTCTATTATTATTTATTATTATTATTAGATTTATTTTATATGCAGAGTGTCTCACCAGCATGTATGTATGTGTACCACATGTGTGTCTTGTGCCCATGGAGCTCAGAAAAGGGCACTGTGTCTCCTAGAACTGGATGGTTGTAAACTACCATGTGGGTGCTGGGAACTGAACCTGAGTCCTCCTAACCACTTGACCCATCTGTCCAGCTCTCTGTCTCTCTCTCTCTGTCTCTGTCTCTCTCTCTTTGGCTTTTCGAGACAGGGTTTCTCTGTGTAATTTTGCTGCCTCTCCTGGAACTCACTCTGTAGACCAGGCTGGCCTCGAGCTCACAGAGATCCTCCTGCCTCTGCCTCCCGAGTGCTGGGATTAAAAGCGTGTGCCACCGCCGCCTGGCTCCCTCTCTCTTTTTAAAAGTTGCATTTATTTATTTTATTTATAGGTGATTCTGGGGGTATGTGTGCCCTGAGCACATTCAGAGGCCAGTGTGAACTCCAGGGCTCAGTCCTCTCCATCCACAATGTAGACTCTGAGTATTGAACTCAGGTTATCAGCCTTGGTGGCAAGCACCTTTACCTACTGAGCCATCTCATGGTGCCTACCCCCAGGCTGGTCTTGAACTCACTATGTTGTTGAGGATGACCTGATACTCCTGTCTCCACCTCTTTTTCTTTTTCTTTTCCTTTCTTTCTTTCTTTCTTTCTTTTTTTTTTTTTAAAGACAGGGTTTCTCTGTGTAGCCCTGGCTGTCCTGGAATTCGCTCTGTAGACCAGACTGGCCACGAACTCACAGAGATTTACCTGCCTTTGCTGGGGTTAGAGGCTCGCACTACCCACCGCCTGGCTTGGCCTCCACCTCTTACATGCTGGAATTATGGGCACGTGCCACCGTACCTGGTGCTCTGTTGGGACAGTGATTGCCACATTGATATTTAGCAGGGCCCAACCAAGACCCTCTGCCCTAGAGGGTTTCAACTGCAGGCCCACAGGGGCACTGACTGGCCAGTGTTCTGTCTCAGGGACCCAGGCTGGCCAGCCACTCATACGTGCCTGCCCTCCATGGTCACTAGTGGCTGGAAGCTTGCTATCCTGTCTTTCTGTGTCCTCTGGGAGGTCCCAGGCCCTGTGGCTCACAAAAGACAGGGGAAGGCTTTTGTGTCAAACATGTGTCCCGCATCCAGTACCCCTCACCCTCTGGGCCAGAATAAGGCTCCCTCTGGCCCTTTGGTTCAGGATGTCTGGACCAAGAGTTGAGATAGTAGCTGTGCTATACCTGCCCCCCTGGGAAGGCAGATTGAAGCATTTGGCACCTAAGGAGACATCCTAGGAGGGGAGGGGAGGGAAGGACCACCTGGGCCATGGAAAGAGGGGGCAGTCATCTCACTTCATCCCTTTTCCTAAAGATTTGCCCCCGATGGCTGCGGTGATGTGCCTATCTATGTCTGTGATTATCTAGGTCACCGTGTGTCCTTGTGTGGGCTGCATAATATGGTAATTTTGTGGTGGGAAGAAAGCTTTGGATGGAGTACTTGGCAAGCATGCACAAAGTCCTGGGTTCAATCCCCAGCTCCCCACAGTTGGGACATGGTGGCACGTGTCTGTAGCCATCCTAGCACTCTGAAGGTAGAGATGGGAGATTAGGAGTTCAAGGCCATCTTTGGCTGCACAGGAAGTTTCAGGATAGCCTGGGCTAGATGAGACTATATCTGAAGGAAGTGGGGGGGGTGCTGGCAAGGGGACCCCTCCAGCTGCTGGAGGTGGGGTGGGCACACCATCCTGGAACTACTCAGCTTCCTTTCTCAGCTCCCATGTGCCACCCCTGTCCACACTTAGCCCTGTGTGGCCTACAGAGTGGGTATAGTTAGTTCCCAGGAGGCAGCAGGGCCACACGGAGATGCGGTCACTCATCAGGGGGAGAGGGCATGCCATGGGCATGCATGTCCGTGAGGCAGGACAGAGCTCAGGAGGAATGTGGAAATTGGCAGTGGGTCGGGGGCTCTCCTGGATCAATGCTCCTTCTCGCTCCCCGGGGGCCGCCATCCGGCTGGGCTATTTTAGGTTTGAGCAAAAAAGGCTGAGACGGCAGGAGCAGCTGGTGACCAAGTTTCCTTTTGTTCGTGGGAGGAAGGCTCCCTCCTCCACTCGGCAGAGGCCCCCTGCGCTGCCCCGCTCACATTCCACTTAGTAGGTGACCCTCCTGTCCTGGTAGATCACTGCTGTCACCCCTAAGCCCAAACCCCAGTGTGTAGGGTACAAAAGGCCAAGAGCCCCATCCCAGTTTCTCCTGAAGAGAGGGTGGCACTGGAGGCTTCTCTACGGCTAGGAGGATGGCCACTGCCTTCTCTCACCTTTATTCACCTCTCATGACCCCTAGTGACCTGTCACCTCCGGGGCTACAAACCCTGGGGGTCGTATTACCCCTTTGAAACTGCTGCCTCCCACCGATGACGGTCGCTCTTGTCACAGCCACGCGGGAGCTAAGCACCTAGGAGGGACAGCTTTGTGGGGAGTTCCAGGTCAGCTGTTGCTTGGGCTGCCCAGGCAAGGTGGTCCACCCTGCTGACCCCCTCCTGAGCCACCCCAGGTAAAGCCAGGTGAACCCAGCCCCACCCCACCCCAGCACCAGACAAGTACAGTCCTCGGTGCCGACTGCAGCCCGACCAGCCTTAAATTTAGCCCCATCTGTTATCTGCAGGGGATGGGGGAAGCGGTGAAGCAGGAAGGCGGCTTCTTGGAAGGCAGAGGGAGAGGGGGTGAGACTGTCGTTGAGGTGGCCTCGGCCTAGAATTGCAACTGTAGACAAAGAATTGCAACTGTGGACAAACTGTAGCCCAGGGAAAAGAGAAGACCACAATGCTGGGGGTTTGCCCAGTGCCCCACCCCCACCCCATCCCGCTCCCGGTGCTAGAGGCTGGGTCTGAACAAGGAAGAAAAACCCCATGTCTCCCCCCCCCCTCCCCGCCCCCATAGAGACCAAGGAGGAACTGGAAGAGCTCATGTCCGACATCAAGAAAACGGCAAACAAGGTTCGCTCCAAGTTAAAGAGTAAGTCGCCCTGGTGACTGGGGACGTGGCTCGGTTGGCCCAGCCCAGCCTACATGCGGCCCTGAACTTGACTCACAGAACCCCGTAAGCTGGGTGTGGAGACTCACCCCTGTAATCTCCGAAAGTGGAGATGTGAGGATCAAGAGTTCAAGGACAGCCTGGGCTGTATGAGAATTATGTAGAAATAATAAATTTTAAAAAGCCCCACCCGAAGAGGTGGTTGGCATTCCTGGACGCATGCAGAGACCACATGTGGTGTCTGTGTGCACGAACATGCATACATGTCCCATGGCCATGGCAGCTTAAGGGACATGTTCTGTCGGTGACAGACACTTGGTCCTCCTCTCTTTCCTGAAAAGAATCTGGGTGCACGCGTGCGCGCACACACACACACCCCTACCTTAGGGTATTCACAGGTGGGTGTGTGCGCTCACACAAATGTACACAGCCGCACACGCTAACCAGCAAGAAGGAACGCTATTAGCCCCACCTTCATTATTGTTTACAGTTTGCTTCCCATGTGACTCTCCATACCTTTTGACACAGCCGGAGGCCTCACCCCGGGAGCGGGGTGGGTGCTGAATCCTCCGCTTGTGGGTGGAGCCCATGCATGGGGGGGCGGCTACTGCTTAGCCATCCCCTGACATCACCCCCCACCCCACCCCCCAGGCATCGAGCAGAGCATCGAGCAGGAGGAAGGTCTGAACCGCTCCTCCGCCGACCTGAGGATCCGGAAGACGCAGGTACAGGAGGATGGCGTGTGTGTGTGTGGGGGGGGTGTCCCTGGGTCCCTGTGGAGCCTGACACCAACCGGCACACCTATCTCTCCGTCCCCGCCCCCCTAGCACTCCACGCTGTCGCGAAAGTTTGTGGAGGTCATGTCCGAATACAACGCCACGCAGTCTGACTACCGAGAACGCTGCAAAGGTCGCATCCAGAGGCAGCTGGAGATCAGTGAGCTGGGGGCAGGGGTCCCGGCTGGGTGGGAGGGGCCTGTGGCTGAAGGGGTGCTTAGATGCGGCTTGTGGCTAGAGAGGCAGTTTGGGCTGGAGGGTTGGAGCCGCAAGCAGGGCCCGTGGTCGTGGTTGAAGCTCTGAAGTGGTGGTGGGTGTGGCCTGTGGCTAGGGGTGTGGTTTGGGCTGGAGGGGCGGTTCCGTGAGTGGAGCCTGGGTATGGGGCTGGGGCTAGAGTCGGGTGGGTAGGACCTTGTGGTGCGTATATGGCCTGGGTTGGAAGGATGGAGCCATTGGTGAAGCTTGTGGCTAGAGATGTGGTTTGGGCTGGAGAGATGGGACCCATCCATAACAGCCTAGGGGTGGGGCTTGTAGCTAGAGGTGTGGTTGAGGGTGGGGCTTTGGCTAGGACTAGCCGCGACCTAGCTCCCTGGAGAGGGCAGGACTTAATGCACTCCCACCCACAGCCGGCAGGACCACGACCAGTGAGGAGTTGGAAGACATGCTGGAGAGCGGAAATCCTGCCATATTCGCCTCTGGGGTGAGTGGGAAGCCCTCCCCGGTTACCCATAAACCACATCCCTCCACACTAGGCCCAGTGTGTGTGCGCCAAAGCCAGCCAGGGTCAGGGCAGTGTTTGGATTTTAGAGAAAGCCTGAGTCTGGAGAGAAGGGAGGGGGCCAGGTTGAGGGTCCCATAAATGTCAGTGATAAAGGTGAAAAATCAAAACTTGTGTCCAGGTTGAGATGGCTCATCAGGGAAAGGAGCTGCCAGGCCTGGCGAGCTGAGTTGGATTCCCTGGGATTCAAATGGTGGAAGCAGAGAACTAACTCCTGCAAGTTGTCTACACGCACACACACACACACACACACACACACACACACACACACACATTATACACATACATACATACATACATACACACCACAGGTACACACCTACCGTAGACACACACACACACACACACACACACACTATACACATACATACATACACACCACAGGTATACACCTACCGTAGACACACACACACACACATTATACACATACATACATACATACATACATACATCATACATACATACATACACACCACAGGTACATACCTACTGTAGACACACAGACACACAGACACACACATTATACACATACATACATACATACACACCACAGGTACACACCTACCGTAGACACACACACACACACACACACACACACACACACACGCACACACGCACACGCACACACACATAAATGTTTAAACAAACAAACAAACAGGACTGGGCTGTAGCTCGGTTGTTAAAGTGCTTGTCTGCCACTCATGAAACCCTGGATTTAGTTCTTTTTTTTCTGGCTCTTGCTCTGTAGACCAGGCTGGTCTCGAACTCGCAGAGATCGCCTGCCTCTGCCTCCTAGAGTGCTGGGATTAAAGGTGTGTGCCACCACCACCCGGCTGGATTTAGTTCTTAGCACTTACTAAACTCCAGCCTGTAATTCCAGCACTAAAGAGTTAGAGGCCGGCCAGGCAGCGGCGACACACACCTTTCGTCCCAGCACTCAGGAGGCAGAGGCAGCGAATCTCTGTGAGTTCGAGGCCAGTCTTCTCTGCAGACCAAGTTCCTGTATAACAGTCAGGACTGTTACACAGAGAAATCCTGTCTCGAAAAAGAAAAAAGAAAGAGAAAGAGGTAGCGAGTGGCAGGGGGATCAGGAGTTGAAGGTTATTTGTGGCTGTATCGCCAGTGCCAGGTCAGCCTGGGATACACGAGATCCTGTCTCAAAGATGGTTCAGCAGGTAGAAACACTTGCCACCAAACCTAACTACCTGGGTTTGATGCCCAGGACACACACTCTCTCTCTCTCTCTCTCTCTCTCTCTCTCTCTCTCTCTCTCTCTCTTTTTTTGTTTTTTGTTTTTTCGAGACAGGGTTTCTCTGTGTAGCTTTGTGCCTTTCCTGGATCTCGCTCTGTAGACCAGGTTGGCCTTGAACTCACAGAGACCGCCTGGCTCTGCCTCCTGAGTGCTGGGATTAAAGGCGTGCGCCACCACCGCCCAGCATCCAGGACTCTCTTTATGAAAGGAGAAAATGGACTTCTTGTCTGGGTTCCACATATGTGCTATTGGGCATGCTTGCATGCACACATACATAGTTAATAAATAATGGTATGTATATATATATATATACACACACACACACACATATATACCATTATTAAATACTATATGTGTGTGTGTCTGTGTGTGTGTAGTGACAGGGTCTCACTGTGTAACCCTGGCTGTCCTGGACCTCTTTGCATAGACCTGGCTGGTTTGGAACTCAGAGATTTGTCTATTTGTATGCTTGTGCCTCTCAAGTGCCGGGATTAAAGGTGTTCACTACCATCCCCGCCATAATGAAACAGTCACTTGCTGAGCACTCGCTGTGTGGGAGAGTGTCGGCAGCTCCTCATTTCAGGCAGGAATTGAGTCACACAGAAGCTAATTAGCAATGGAGCCAAACAGGAGGTTGGAAGGGCTGTGGCTGCTGCTTCTGGGAAACCTGCTCATCCCTGCCGCCTTCCTCCTTGGCCCCTTTTCCAGCTTCATTTCTGTTGCTGTGATAAAATGGCCCTGTCAAAAAGCAACTCATGGTAGAGGGGCCATGTTTCAGCTCACAGGAGCTTAAAGTAGTTAGTCACATCACAGCCAAAGCAGAGAGAAAGTGAAGTTGGCATGCTTAGTGCCCAGCGAGCTTCTGTGTAGGGAATGGTGTCACCCACAGTGGGCTGGGTCTTCTCACGTCAATTAAGACAGTTCTTCATAGACATGTCCCTACCTAAGCTGACTTGGACAATCTTCATTGAGATGAGACTCTTCCCGGGTGATTCTAGGTTATGTCAAATTGATAAAACCAACCATTGAACCTGGAGAAATGACTGTGGTTAAGGGTCCTTGCTGCAGCCGGGTGGAGGTGGCGCACGCCTTTAATCTCGGGAGGCAGAGCCAGGGGGATCTCTGTGAGTTCGAGGCCAGCCTGGTCTACAGAGTGAGTTCCAGGACAGGCTACAAAGCTACACAGAGAAACCCTGTCTCGAAAAACAAAACAAAAAAAAGAGTCCTTGCTGTTCTTCCAGAAAACATGAGTTCATTTCCCAACACCCATGTCTGACCCCTCATAACCGCCTGTCACTCCAGCTCTAGGGGCTCCAGCACCCTCTTCTGGCCATCACAGGCACTGCACTCATATACCCAAACAAACACATACATATAAATTGGAGAAAAAAAAAAAAAAACGACAGCCTCCCCACTCTCCCAGTCCTGGTCTCCAGTCCCTCTCCTCAGCATCAGGGTCCCACTGCTCTACTCCCTAGATCATCATGGACTCCAGCATCTCGAAGCAGGCTCTGAGTGAGATCGAGACCAGACACAGTGAGATCATCAAGCTGGAGAACAGCATCCGGGAGCTCCACGATATGTTCATGGACATGGCCATGTTGGTGGAGAGCCAGGTGAGTGCCCTCGTCGCCGATGTTAGGACCTCCGGCTCCCAGCAGCATCCAGGACCACACTCACCCCCTTCCCTTTTCACCCAACACGCTGCTCTGCCCGGGAGGGACAGTGTCTTCAGGTAACCGTAGACGGTTGTAAGGACCTCCAGGGATCGTGCTGCATGCCTCTGCTTGGCTCCCCAGGCCCTGCATGGCCCCACCCCTCACCCTGTCCTGTCCTGGCTTCACAAACTATGCTAGGGGCCACTGTGGACTGGCTGCCTTGCTAGGAGCAGAAGGCGTAGCGGTGAACAAGACAACTGAGCATCGCTTACAGGAGTGAATGGCTACTGGGTGAGAAAGGGCAGCACAACGTCTCTGTAGAATAAATGGAATGTTCTCCGGTGTGCTGGGAGCTCAGGAGAGTCCTAGGTAGGCATGTTCATCGCGTGGCTCGTGAGCCGCAGGAGACCTGGGATAGTTATGAATGAGGCCTAACACAAAAATCATAAACTACAACTTGAAATTGTAGGTATGCACAGGGGTGTGTGTGTGTGTGTGTGTGTGTGTGTGTGTGTGTGTGTGTGTGCGCCTTATTTCTTTGAGACAAGGTCTCTCACTGAATCTGGAACTCACCAAATCAACCTGACTGGCTGGCCAGTGAGCCTCAATTCTTCATTTCTGGCTCCCAGAACTGGGGTTAGAGGCTTGGGCCTCTATGGCTTTTTACACAGGTGCTTTTTCCAGGGGATCCAAACTGAGGTGCTTGTCAACTTGGTTGAGCCATCTCAACGTAATTACCTGACATCTACCTTCCAAATTTGTCTTTTCCTTCTTTCTTTCTTTCTTCTTCTTCTTTTTTTTTTTTTTTTTTTTTTTTTTTTTTGAGACAGCGTCTTGCTATGTAGACCAGGTTGGCCTTGAACTCATAGACATAGAGAGCCAACTGCTTCTGCCTCATGAGTACTGAAATTAAAGGCTGTGCCCAGGTCCTGACACATAGTCAGGACTTCATCCACTCAGGGCTTCCTCTGCTCCACACAAAGGGACCAGCTAGGAAGAGCTCCCATGAGAAATGAGGAGCAGCCCCCGGCTGAGGGCCCTGCCGTGCCCAGCGCTCAGCAGGAGGCTGGGCTTGAGGAGAAAGGAGGTCTGTGGGACCCAGGGAGTGGTCAAGGCCAAGCCTAAGTTGGAGACAGATGAGGTAGGAAACCTGGCGGTGCCGAATACCATTGAGCATATTTTCTTTTGGGGACAGGGTCTCATATATGCCATGCCAGCCTCAAACTTGATATGTAGCATATGATGACCTTGAACTTAAAAAAATTATTTTAATGTGTATGGGCATTTTGTCTGCATACACATCTGTGCTTTATGTGCCTGGGGCTGACGGAGGTCAGAAGAGGGTGTCTGATCCCCTGGAGTTGGGGTTATGGATGGCTGTGAGCTGCCCTGTGGGTGCTGGGAGTTGAACCAGTGTCCTGCCAGTGCTCAGAACCACTGAGCCATGTCTCAGTCTAACCTTTAATATTTTTATGAAAAACAAAACCCTTTTTACATCTGTGTGTGTGTGTGCCTGTCTGTGTCCATTTGTACTTGTGGGAGTTAGTTCTCTCCTTCAATTATATGGGCCAAGGGTTGAACACAGGCTTGGGGGCGCTCAGCTTTATCTGCTGAGCCGTCTCAGGTCCTGGACCTTGAACTACCTATCTTCTTGCCTCTACTTCCCAAATGATGGGATCACAGGTGTGCGCTACTGTATTCCGTTGACAATGGCTGGAGATCAAACGTGAGACATCCTGCATTCTAGGCAACCACCGTAGCGACTAAGCTACATCTCCAGCCCCCTGAACCCCCCCCCTTTTTTTTTTTGAGACAGGGTTTTTCCATGTAGCTTTGGTGCCTGTCCTGGAACTCACTCTGACCTTGAACTCAGAGATCCGCCTGCCTCTGCCTCCCTAATGCTGGGATTAAAGGCGTGCGCCACCACAGCCCTTATGAGACAGTCTTCCTTGGCTGGCCTCAAACCTAGGGCATTCCTCCACCCTCAGCCTCCGGAGTGGTGGCTTACAGGTCTAAGTCACCATGTCTGGCTTTGTTGATGTGGATTTTGCCATTGTTGACTTTTAGTTTTGTTCTTTGGCCTTTGTGTGACAGTCTTGCTGTTCAGCATGAGCGAGGCTTTGATCCTGGCTCAGCCTCCTCAGTGCTAGAATATTTTAGCTGTTCACCACACCTGGCTTTCTTGAGGTTTTGTTGCTGTTGTTTGTTTTTTATCTGTTTTGGTCATTTTGTTGTTGTTGTTGAGGGGGTTGTTGTGTGTTTTGTGATTTCTTTTACCTTTGTAAGGAAGGGTCTTGCTATGTAGACCAGGCTAGCAACTTGAACTCTTGATCCTCTTGCCTCAGCCTCCTGAGTGCTAGGCTCACAAGTCGTACCTGGCTACGCTTGGGGTTCTACGGTAGGCACGGCATAGCCTTAAGTCCTGGGGAGGTCTGAGGAGGCCGCTGCTGTGTCCTGGTGAGAAGCTATGAGGAGAAGGTGTCATCTTTAGACTGAGACACAACATTGCTGTGAGTCTTGTTGGGGCAGTGGCACGGTCAGATGAAGAACATGGGACCCAAAGAGGACTATAGGACTGGCCAAAGGGTCTCCAAGTTTGAAGACAGCAGACATTGAGAGCTTCATGGAACTGGCCCCCTAGGGAAAGAGTAAGAGGCATGCCCATGTTCACCTGGTAAACCTTGGCCAGGGCAGGCTCAGGCTGTAGCCCACCTACTCCTGCCCTGCCTTTGCCCGGCATTGTCCACTTCCTGGGGTCACAGCTGACCACCCTTCGCATGGTCCTCACCCTTGCCTGGCACTGCATGGACGGTTTCACCCCCAGGATGGCTGCTGTTTGGGAAAGGCGGGAGCTGCTCCTGGCTTGTCTTGTACTCAAGATGCCCTGGCCTGGTGGCACAGGTGAGAAGCTCCGTGCCCTCCTCACAGCTCTCCTCTCTCTCTCTCTCTGACTTCAGGGTACTTTCCCGAATCCCTACCCTCAGCTCCCTTCTGGTTCTGAGGAGGGAGGCCTGGACCTTGGGTCCCCCTGGTCCTGCAGGGGGAGATGATTGACAGGATCGAGTACAATGTGGAGCACGCTGTGGACTACGTGGAGAGGGCTGTGTCTGACACCAAGAAGGCCGTCAAGTACCAGAGCAAGGCGCGCAGGGTCAGTGGCCAGCTCTGTCCAAGCCCATGCATGCCCCAGAGAGCCACCAGACTGAGATGCTCCTCCCCACCTGCCTCAGTCCCGTTTTCAGAATCTCCAACCATAGCCTTCACCTCTCCATTAACAATCCTTTCTAGGTCATCAGCTGCCCCTAGTCCTGACCCTCCAGATCTCAACCCTCATTTTGATTTTTGGTTATTGGGTTTTTTTTTTTTTTTTTCATATTGCGGGGGTGGTGGAACCCAGGATCTAGCACATGCTAGACAAAAGTTCTACCACTGAGCCACACCCTCAGCCCCTCACTGGGGGATTCTAGGCAGGGGCTCTACCACTGAGCCACACCCTCAGCCCCTCACTGGGGGATTCTAGGCAGGGGCTCTACCACTGAGCCACACCCCAGCCCCTCACTGGGGATTCTAGGCAGGTGCTCTACCACTGAGCCACACCCTCAGCCCCTCACTGGGGGATTCTAGGCAGGGGCTCTACCACTGAGCCACACCCCAGCCCCTCACTGGGGGATTCTAGGCTGGCACTATTATCCAGCCCCAGCCCGGGCCCTCATGCTGGTCTCTCCTTCACTGCGCCCCTGCGGCTCCTCTGAGGTCTACCCTTTGTCTCCCTGCAGAAGAAGATCATGATCATCATTTGCTGTGTGATTCTGGGCATCGTCATCGCCTCCACCATCGGGGGCATCTTTGCATAGAGACCGGCCCCACCCACCTCTCCACTCTGGATGGGTCTCCCTGAGGAGGCCCCTGGCTGCTGCGTCTGGCCGGGAGCCCTTCCCCTCCCCTCCCACCCTGCTCCCTCTCTGCCACGAGGCTCCCGTCCCCACCACCCTGCCCCAAGCCGTGTCGTGTGCATGATCTTGTGACAGTGTGCGTCTGTTCAGGAGGCAGAGGGGAGCAGGATCGGGAACGGCCAGAGGGGGCTGGGTTACAGGTCAGTGTGGGCAAGACTTGGGCCCTGGCCAGGTCCACCTTTCTTCAGGCCCGAGGTCTACCCTCCTCTGGGACTCGGGCTCCTTTCTGGACCGCAACCTTGCCCTCACCTGCCCTGCCCTCTGGCTTCTTCAGCTCTCCCCACCATGCCAAGGCACCTGGAGGGTGGGGACCAGCTGGTCACATGGTGCTGCTTTTCAGGTTAGGGGAGAGGATGTCCCAAGGGATAGCCCAGCACTGGAGTTCTTGGTGAGCTTAACCACTGCCAGGAGGCTCAGGGGCCATGGCTGCTGGTGTGGTAGGAACACCCAGTGTCCCCACTTGGAGCAAAGCCTGACAGTGTCTCTGGCCTCAGCTGCCCGTACCACAGCCCTGGGGGTCATGTCCCTGAGCTGGGCCTCAGCCTAGTGGACTTGCGCAGGAAGTTTGGTGGGACCCTCTCCAGCCTTGCTTGTAGCTGAGAGGTGGAGCAGACCCCAGGCCTCTGCCCACAGTCTCTAACAGGCATGTGGAGTCGCCGCGGCCAGAGTTGCATGTTGGGGACGTGGTCCCCTGCCCTCTCTATGCTCCGTAAAGCCAGGTGTCACTTTGGGCCTGCAGTCTCGCCCTGCTCTGTCTCCCACTGATGTGCCACGTGGTGTCAGGTGTCCTGGATGCAGTATTCAGCAGCCAGCTGGGGAGGGGGGGGGCCCCCACTTCTCTCCCCTGCCATCTTGGGGCTTCTCAGAGTCAAAAAAAAAAAATTGTACCCCCTGCCCCAGGAACCCTTTCTCGTGCACAGGCCAGGAGTGTGCATGCGTGTGCATGCCGCGGGAGTTGGGGCCGTGTCTGTGTGCCCCCGTCCCTCAGCTTTGCTCCTGCCCAGTGACTGACCACCGTCATGCTGCCTTCTCTCACGGCCCCTCCCCCCACCCCTTCACCAAAGGTCTTGGTACAACCAGCTGCCCATTTTGTGAGATTTTTATGTAGAATAAACATTTGTATCTGTAGTGAGCCTCTGTTTGCAACTTTTTTTTTTCCTTCTGTTTGCCGTGTCAGGGATACGGGATCAACCCTGTCGGGACCGAAGGGGAAGGGGCTCAGAGATGGAGGGTCCCACCCTTCCCCCAATACACAGGCCTTGAACTATCTCTGGGGGGTCAGTGGGTGACATCTGGGCTTTCCCGAGACAGCCCCGAAACCCCAACCTTACCTAGGGGAGCGCTGGCGCCCTTGCTCATCAGAGGTGTGGCTTCAGATCTTTTCATCTGTGTGAATGTTTTGTCAGCATGCATGTGTGTGCCTGGGGCCTGCAGAGGTCACACAAGTGGGTTGGATCCCCTGCAGCTGGATGTATGGATGGTTGTTAGCCACCGTGTGGGTGCCGGGAACCAGTCCCAGTTTCTCTACACAAACCAATGTTCTTAACCACTGGGCCATCTCTCCAACTCCCAGATCTTTTTCTTTTTTAAGTTTTGTTTAAGACAGGGTCTCACTAGGTAGCCCTTACTGTTCTGGAACTTACTACTTAGACCAGGCTGACTTCAAAGTCAGAGAGATCCACTGCTTTGCTCTGCTTCCAGTAAGCCTGACTGACCCCCTCAGTCCAAATCCAACCGACTCCCAGAAGTTGTCTTCCAACCTCCACACAGGCACAGTAACACACAAGTTAAAAATTTACATATATATATATATATTTTCACCTTGTGAAAGGATGATAAACGGTGCTGGTGGCGGCACTGGTTACCGCTGAAAGGTCACGGTCACGAAAGAACCCAGTGTTAGTTTCCAGAGCTTTATTAGGAGGGAAAAGGGGGGGAGGGGAGAGAGGAGAGCCAGGCCTGGAAAGAGAAAAATGGTGGTGGGGGGGAGAGGGGAGCAGAGCAGAGAGAGTGTGGGGTCTGCATCCGGCTTTTAAGGCACAAATTGTGTGACCACACCATGCGTAAGTAGTCACCGGTGCACACTGATGACGTAAGACACAAGGCCTTTTGCTTAACTCCTGAACTGCGCATGTACAGTCATGTAGCTGGAGTGAGGGCCGAATTCTAACACCTTGAGAAACAAGTTACACACAAAGCTGACGTGTGTTGGCTTGAGGCAGGCGCCCCCTTCCGGGATTAAAAGGGAGGGAGCACCATGCCTGGCTGTTTCTGTATGTGTGTGAGTGTGTCTGTCATGTGAGTGCAGTGCCTGTGGAGGCCAGAAGAGGGCGCTGGGTCCCCTGGCGCTGGAGTTATGGGTGGTTATGTGGGCCGTAGAAACCGAACTCAGGTCCTCTGGAAGAGAAGTACATGCTCTTAACCACTGAGCCACCTCTCCAGCCCCTTAAAAAAAAGTACATGGGCTGGAGAGGTGGCTCAGAGGTGAAGAGCACTGGCTGCTCTTCCAGAAGTCCTGAGTTCAATTCCCAGCACCCACATGGTGGCTCACAAACACCTGTAATGAGATCTGGCTCTCTTTTCTGGCCTGCAGGCGTACATGCAGGCAGAACACTGTATACATAACAAGTAAATCTTAAAAAACAAAAGTGCGCATGTGTGCCTGAGTGTGTGCGCATGTGTGCGGGGTCAAAGGACAACTTTGGGCGTCGTTCCTCACCTCTACCTTGTACAAGGCAGGGTCATTTGTCCACTGTGTGCAGCTGACCCCGAGTTTCAGGGCACCCTGCCTAACTAGCACAGCAGCACTACTGCTTCACTGGGTTTGGAATCTGAATTCCTCATTTGCACGGCAAGAACTGTACCTACTGAGCGAAGGTCTTGGAGCTGGTCCCTAGGAGACGCCACTCCAGGGGTTAAGGCCTTTGGCCCCTCGGCCTCCCTGGTCAGTGCCTTCCTGCTATGCCATGTCCAGATGTAGCCCCCCCATCTCCCCCCTCACAGAACATATCCATCAAATAGCCTCAGCCTGGTGGACGCCACACATCCCAGAGCAGGACTGTCCAGACAGCCTGACGTTACCAAGTGCGAAGACATTTGACACCTCCCACCCTCGGCCAGGGACTTAAAAGAGTGGCGGAGACCCAACTGTGCCTCCCACAAGCTACAAGAATGTTTCTGTCCATTCTAGGTCTTTAAGTCCAGTCCCTGCCTGGGAGTCAGGCAGTAGTTCCCAACATAGGAACCTGAGACACAGATTAATATAGAGCCAGGGACACCAGTTACTTAGAAAGTTATTTAATGCATTTAAGACAAAATAAACATCCTTAGAAATTTTTTTTCTTTTTAGTTTTTTCAGACAGATTTTTTGCTCTGCAGCCCAGACTGGCCTGGAACTTTCCATCTTGCTGCCTCAGCCTCCCAGAGGGTGTTGGGATTTCAGGATCTGGGCTGCCAAACCCAAATCCTTGGAACACTTTTAGTGAAAAAAATATTTTGAGAAATTCGCAACTTTTCTAAAATACTATGTTGCTAGCTGCTGAGGTAAACAGTTCAATCTAGAAAATTCCTCAGAGGCAGGTCCTGGGTTGGACAGCTACCAACCACTGAAGGGAGTGGGTGGCCAGGGCCATCTGCAGGATGAGATGCAGGTGTGGGTGGCCAGGTCCCACCTGCAGGACTGGATGCAGGTGTGGGTGGCCAGGTCCCACCTGCAGGACGAGGTGCAGGTGTGGGTGACCAGGGCCATCTGCAGGACTGGATGCAGGAGTGGGTGGCCAGGGCCATCTGCAGGACTGGATGCAGGTGTGGGTGGCCAGGGCCCCGTCTGCAGGACTGGATGCAGGTGTGGATGGCCAGGTCCCACCTGCAGGACTGGATGCAGGTGTGGGTGGCCAGGCCCCACCTGCAGGACTGGATGCAGGTGTGGGTGGCCAGACTCTCCATTTGATTAGATACAGAGCTCTCAGAAGCGGGGCTTGCGCTTTCGGCCAGTGTACTGGGTGTCGGGTCTGACCTCCCTGCAGACAGACAGAACAGACTCGAGAATGAAGAGCTCTGAGACCTCAAAAGCAGGTGACCTCTTGGCGGCCACAGCCTCCCGCTCCCCGCCTGCCCATCCCCAGCTGGCACTCACTTGCCCTGGCGCCTGCGCCTCTCCTTCTTCTCTAGGACCCACTCCCGGCTCTTCTTCACCAGGTCCCGCCGTGCCTTCTTGTGTGGCACCCTAGCCAGAGACGGAGGTGAGAGGGTGGCTAAGCTGTGTGTGTGTGTGTGGGGGGGCAGCCCTGAGGCCCTCTCTTCCCGTCTGTAACCTCCACTCGGGACACTTCCACAACAGAACCCTGGCGTAGCAGAGCTGTGGGGTGCAGTCCCTGTCCTTGCAAGGCATCACGGGTAGATGGCCTTGTGTCTGGCACACACCTGTCCATAGATAACTCCGGGAAGGAGTAACTCAAGAGCCTGATGGTGTCCAAGGACAGCCATGGTACCTGCACAGTCCAATGCTGCCACTTAAGTTCCTTGTCAGGGTTGGGGTTCAGTGTGCTCAGCAGATGCCAGTGTTGTCCCCCCACACCCACCCCCTGCCTCACTCCAGCATCTGTCAATGTCTGAGGCAGGAAAACAAGGCTGCCCACTCACGGCAGTCTTGACGAAGATGCTCCTCACAGACTGATCTTGGCCTCCATCCCTGGCTGAGGAGGAACGTGATCCCCACAGCCCAGGGGACAAAAGGCCCAAGGAAGAGAGGGAGCCTGCTCACCCCCCCACAGCCACATTCCCATTGGCTGCTGGGATGAAGGGATCCAGCCTAGCTTGAAGGAGAACTGCCGGCTGCTTCAGGATAGCCTGTGGCCCCTGGGTGCGGGCAGGAGCCATGAGCTACTCAGCATCTGCAGCAGGGGCTGGGCTGTGTGCATCACCCCAGACCATCGGGAAAGAAGGGCAGGCCACGGGAGGCCAGAGGGAGCCATGGAGGAAAGGAAGAGCAGCGTGTTGGTCTGGCGGTCAGTAAGGAGCCTCCTCCTCCTCTGTGGGCAGGTGAACAGGTCAGTGAGGTTACAGTGACATGCCTCGCCATCACGCACACTGTGGGGTGTGTGCGGATGGCTTGTGACAGGAACCTGGTTAGCCAGGAAGAAGAGGGAAGGAGGGGACTGTGGGGTGAGGAAGAGGGAAGAGGGCTGGAATCGCCTAGAAGAGCAGGGCCAGGGCTGGCGACCATTCCACTTACATAGGCACTAGTGTAGAGCTAAGGGACCTACGATGCGTGGAGGGGATTGGACACCTTGTACTTCTCTGCAAAGCCTAGTAGAAACATCTAGAAGATGTCCCAGAGCTCAGGGGCATGAGCAGGGGAGCTCAGAAAGGAGTGGCCAAGGGTCAGGGGCAAGGTGTGGTCAGAGGTCAAGGCAATCGCACGGGAATCAAAGATTGTGTGGACACACGGAACACTGTGGGGGCGCTGTGAACGGGAGCATCTTGTGGGACAGGATATTTGCTTAAGTAAAGACGTGCTACATTTGTTTGTGCTGCAGAAAAATTGTTTAACGATGTAAAGATGTGTTGCTGTCTCACCTTGCCTGCCTAAGGCGTCTGATTGGTCTAATAAGAAGCTAAACAGCCAATAGCGAGGCAGAGGAGGGGTAGGCAGGGCTGGCGGGGAGAGAGAAGAGGGGGCCAGCCAGTGGCCGGCCAGTCACAGAGGAAGCAGGATGGGGACAGTACGCAGATGAGGCAAAGCTCCTCAGGGCAGCACACAGATGAACAGAAATGGGTTACGTTAAAGAAGTTATCTAGAAGGCTGGAGAGATGGCTCAGTGGTTAGAGCACTGACTGCTCTTCCAGAGGTCCTGAGTTCAATTCCCAGCAACCACATGGTAGCTCACAACCATCTGTATTGAGATCTGGTGCCCTCTTCTGGCCTGCAGGGATACATGCAGGCAGAACACTGTATACATAATAAATAAATAAATCTTAAAAAAAAAAAAGTTATCTAGAAACAAACCTAAGCTAAGGCCAAGCATTCATAATTAAAAGACTCCATATCATGATGTGGGGGCTGGTCCAAGAAGCCCGCTATAGGAACACGATGCGGGTCACTGGAGAAAGGCAAGAGAAAGTCTTCGGGGTGGCTGAAAGGTAAGTGACCACAGGTGCCAGGAGTGCTGGGGCGGGGGTGGTGAGGCCCGGGGACCTGCTTCTCTCCACAGTGAAACAGAAACAGCAGACGAGCTGGCTGAGAAGAGCAGGGGCTTGCCGCAGAAGCCCGGCCCCGGCCCTCCCCACTCCTTCCTGAGCTCCCCGGCTCATTTCCCATTGAACTCGGGGATTCTTCTACAGGTTTTCACTCAGCTTTGCTGAGGAAGTACCAGGCATCCGACCCCCTCCACGCATCTTACGGCCGCTCATCCTCACACCAGTGTCTGTTGGTGACATGTGTTCTCCGTTAGCTGGGCTGTGTTGGATGGTCTGAGCATCTGTTCCCCAACTGTGAGCTATGTGTGTAGACAGGAATGACTCGAGGGTAGAGATGAGGATGCACGGGCCAAGGAAGGCCGGGGCCCAGGCTGGAGCTAAAAGTGGCTGTGGGGGGGTTATGGGGGGAGGAACGACACAGGACGCCAAGACGCTGTGGCGGCCCCAGTACCCAGGCTGAGGAGGAGGCAGACATAGCCCACCCAGGCACACCGGGTTGTGACATCACTTTGGCACAGCAGCTGTGTCCAACCTGCCTGGGGTGAGAGCCGAGAGAAATGCCCCAGCCCTCGCCTGCTCCCCACACCGATGCACCTTACCTTTCACTGGTGAAAACGGACTCAGTGGCCCGGTCTGCATCCTGACTTTCCGTCAGCCCCTGTACGGGACAAAACTCCTGAGTCACCCTGGTACTTACTTCCCCAACAGACACGTGCCCCCAGGCCCGAGGAACCCCGGCAGGTCTGAAAGTCAGGCTACAGGGGTTCGTGTTCCTTCCTAGGACCTGCAGAAGTCTCAGAGAGTTGGGCTCCGTGCAGGGGATTGGGGAACCCTGACCACCGAGGCCCTCCCAGCATGCTCTTGTGCTGGGAACCCAGAACCCTTACCTTTGGCAGGGAGGTGGAAGGCCCAGAAAACAGACAGAGGTAGAACCTGAAACAAGGCAGGGCTACATGAAGCCTAGCTTACAAGGCCTGGCAGGAAGAGACAAGTCCTTGTCCTCTACCTTTTGCGGCCCTGTCCACCTACCCAGCATTCCTCCGTAGCCTGCAAGGGCCCCACAGCTGTGCCGACGGCTCTTGGGCCCCGCACTCACTGTGTATGGAATACATGTGCAGTCCGAGGTCCAGCTCATCTTTGACAGGGTTTCTCACTATCCTCGAGCTCATCACGGAGGCTAGGCTGGCCCGCCCGCGATTCTCCAGAGACCCGCCTATCTCATCTCCCCGGTGCCTCGTCGGGGTTCTAAGCACGAAGCGCCACGCCTGGCCTTTTGCACGAATGCTGGAGTTGGGGGCCCAGGCCCCCCCGTGTTTGCACAGAAAACACTTCACCCACTGAGCCCCGCCCCCCACACTCACTTCTTGGCTTTCGCACTGTTGGGGAAGTCCACCACCACGCCACCGGTGAAGCCTGCCCTTGTGGCCTGCGTTGTGATCAGCTCCAGCTGAGGAGAGAGAGGGGCAGAGGGGGGATGGGGGGGGGACAGACGCTCTAGAGGTCCTCAGCTCTCACTGGTCAGACTCTAAAGCACAGTACAGCTAGACCTCTCCACTCCGAGGCCCCCAAAGCCACCAAGGCAGAAAGTGGTGGCTTTGGGTCTCCGCAGCCCCGTGGAGGGAAGTGTCAGAACAAAGCGGTTCTGCTGGTGGCCACCTTCTGGTCCAGGGACCCATCTCCCGGCCCTCAGGAAACTGGACCAGACTCAGTTCTGTTACGGAGCAGGGACCTGCAGGTCACCGTCATTCTAAGGCCTAACTCATGCTGAGGGCCTCTTGCCTGCTTCCACTCTACCCCTGGGGTTATGGAGATGGGTAACATTACAGCTCATTCTGTGACACCACCGTAGCGCTTTGCATTTCTCTCTCTCTCAGTGCTGGGCATGGAGACCAGGTCCTCATGTACCAGATGAGGCTCGACCACGGAGCCACATCCCCAGCCTGCCACTGAATCATCAGCTGTCAGCAGGAGACAACACCCCAGCCTCCCCTACAGGTACACCCCCTCTCGGGGAGCCATCTGGGGTCACTGTGCCATCAACAGGTGCCCCATCCCTCTGTCCCACCAGGTCGCAAGAGGTCCCTGTTCTGCCATGGTGCCCAGTGGCAAGGCAGCGGAGTGGAGAAGGCTGTTCCCCACCCCCACCCCCACCCCGATCTAGCTAGCTGCTCACCTGCTCCGAGTTCTCAGGGTACAGCTGCAGGACGGCTCGGGCCCCGCGGACCTGTAAGCAGAAGAAATGTCATGACCACAGAAGCGCTCGTGGGGTCAGGACCTTCACTTACTAAATATTTACGAAGCTCCGGTCACGGGCAGAGCTCAGAATGCCACCGTGAACAAGACTCCTGAACTGGGCCCCACGCTGGCAGAGCAGGCACCTGACTTACAGTTGTGGCAGGAAAAGAACGGTGCATGCCTATAACCTAGGCCTTTGGGAGGCAGAGGCAGGAGGATCACCACATGCTCAAGCCCAGCCTGGTCTACACAGTAGGTCCCAGTCTCGGAAGAAAAAGGGCAAACAAGAATTACTCAGTAAGTGCTGGGATTGCAGTGTGTGCCACAATGTCTGCCGTGAAATGTTTTCTGATTAACGAAGCCGGTGACAGAGGAGGGAAGTGCAGAGGACACGGGCAATCTGGCAGGTGACCTCTGTGTGCTGGACACGATGTCACTCTCCGCATCGATTGCCTCAGATGTTGACTGCGATGCTCCTAGGTTTGGTCAGATGTCAGCCCTGTGCATCTGGGCTTTTTTTCTTTTGCATTAAAAAAAATTATTTATTTTTATTTTATGTGCATTGGTGTTTTGCCCACATGTATGTCTGTGTGAGGGCGTCAGGGGCCCTGGAACTGGAGTTACAGACAGCCATGAGCTGCCATGTGGGTGCTGGGAATTGAACCCAGGGCCTCTGGAACAGCAGCCCGTGCTCTTAGCCACTGAGCCCCTTCTTTTGCATTTTTGCTAGCCAAGGCTAGCACTGAGCTCCCAACTCCCCATCCAGTCTCTGCCTCCGAGTGTTAGGATTCCAGGTCTAGACCAGCATGTCCACCGAGTCTCAACAGCCGGTGTGTCCTTTCTAAGCAGCCTTCCTATCGTGGACCTCACTTCAGCCTTGAACTGACAAGGCAGGAGAGTGGCGGACACACGGACACAGGAGGAGGAGAGCTCATACTCACGAGGACAGAGTACAGGGACGAAAAGAAGCAGTAGAGACGCCTGGCAGGGACGTCCGACTTCTTGTTTGCGTTGCAGAGCCACTGAACAGCTGAGATGCTGGAAAGGAAGGGGACCAGTCAGGAGGGACCGACGCTGTCCCCAAAGACCTCCTGAGGACTCGGCCACCATCCCCCACCACCCGCTTCATATAGCCCCTGTCCTGCAGGGGCCAGTCCTCTCCTGGTCACTTACACAACCCAGAACCAGTCGGGGCAGCACTCACTTGCTCCTGCCATCCCAGGGAAATGCTTTCTCACCCCATGTCTGCGTGCAGTGCCTCCAGGTGCCAAGGCCAGGCTGCCCACCTGCCCCTTCACTCTCTTCCGACAATCAAAGGAAACCCACTGGACAGCACGTCCACCCAGCCACTCATCCGTTCTTTCACGTGGTTCTGCTGTGTCTATCTCAAACCTTCGGCGGCTGCACCCCTCACTCTGGCCCACGGCTCCTCACTGCTTTACACACCCAGCCACAGAATGCCACGTGACTAGTCTGGCATGAGAAAGGCCTTCAGCTTGCTCTCCATCAGGTCCTCTGGAAGAGCAGCCAGTGCTCTTAACCACTGAGCCGTCCCTCCAGCCCCTGCTTCCTATTTCTTTAATATTTTACTTTTGACTTTGAGTCAGGATCTCATGTAGCCTAGCTTCTGACTCCTGTGGCAGAGGATGAGCTTGAACTCCTGATCCTTCTGTCTCCACCTGCTAAGAGCTGGGATTATAACCAGGTGCAGCAGCATTTCATATTTCTAACAGTAATTTTAATGCTCCAAAGCTGGTCATGGAAGTCCAGGGGCTGGTGAGATGGATCAGTGATGAAGAACACTTGATGCTCTTGGAGAAGACACAAGTTCAGTTCTCAGCACTCAGACAGCAGCTCACAACCATCTCTAGTTCCAGGGGATTGGACACTTCTCTAGCTACCCCAGGGACCAGGCATGCATGTGGTACGCACACGCACACACACACACACACACACACACACACAAAATAAAAATAAGTTGTTGTTGTTTTTAATTCAGTCTTTCAAGACAGGGTTTCTCTGTGTACGTAGTCCTGGCTACCCTAAAACTTGCTTTGTATTCTAGGCTGGTCTTGAACTCAGAGATACACCTGCCTCTGCCTCTCAAGTGCTGGGATTAAAGGGGTGTGCCGCTACCACCACCTGGGAATAAATTATAGGTTCAGTGTGTCTATGATCCCAGCATGGGGGAATGGGAAGCAGAGCCAGGCAGATGCCCGGAAGCTCACTGGCCAGCTGGTCCACCTTGTGTGACATCACTCCAGACCAATAAGAGCTTGTCGGAAACAAAAGGTAGCTAGTGTCTGAGGCCTGACACCCAAGGGTGCTTGCTCCCTTGCCTCCTCCACCTATTTGTACCCACACACAAGAATGTGCACACACATTATTTTTTAGCCACCTTTGTCCTTATAAATCTCAAAATCTTAGAACATGTACATTTTTAAAATTACATTTATTAACTTTGCATGCATCCTCGTTCACATACAGAGGACAGACAATCATTCCCAAGAACCTTCTTTCTCTCCCAGCACATGTGTTCTACATCAAACTCAAGTTTGTCAGGCCTGGTAACTGATCACTGAGGCAGCACACAGGCCCAGAACATGTAAAATTTTAAATATCACGTATGACCGCTATACAGCTGGGTTTGGGAAACACTGGTCTATGGAATTAAGAGCAGGAAGTGAAGGGCCTCACCTGATGCAGCCATCAAAAGAACCTGGTCTGAAAGGGACTCCCTGGCCCATGTCCCCTAGCAGCAGGTCTCCCTCTGTGTCTCGGTCCAAGGCAGCATCTACATCAGAGGAAAGGACAGTATGGGTACCACTGCTGCAGATAGGTGTGGTGGGCAGGCCTGTGATCTCAGCCACAGGGAGGCTGAGGCAGGAGCATCTCAAGTTGGGGACTAGCTTGGGCTATATGGCAAGACCTGATCTCAACCAAAAATCCAATTTAGCTGCTCCACACCAAGAGGACAGCCACGTTGGTACGAGACAGAGCAAACTTACCCAACATGGCAGTGCTGATGTCAATGCCCACCCAATAGTGCCCCTCTTCTGAGATGTAGTCTCCACTCAGTCCAGAGCCGCAGCTGGAAGAAACAATCCACGGGCTCTCCCAGAGCTGAACAGTAAGAGACACTCCACCCTACCCAGGCCATTGGACCCAGGGCCCCAGGACCTCACCCGATGTCCAACAGGTAAGAGGGCTGACCCTCCGGCAAACAGAGGAGCTCCAATGCTCGCTCAGTCATCTTGGTCTGGATGTCAATCATCCGTGAGCTGGGGAAGTAGAAAAACATGGGAGTGGTCAGGGAGTTCTAGGTCCTAGTTCTCCTAGATCAAAAGGACACAGTCAACTGGAGGTGCTTTCCTCACTGTAAAATTTTATTTATTTCATTTAGTGTGTGCGTCTGTGTGTGTGCGTGTGTGCGCGCGCGCGTGCATGCGTGCATGTGTGTGTGTGTGTGTCTGTGTGTCTGTGTGTGTGCGTGTGCATGTGCATGTGGTCGTCAGAGGCCAGCTTGCTCCATTTGGTTCTCTTCTTCCAACATGTGGGTTCTAGGGTTCGGACTCAGTCATGAAGCTTGGTGATTACCCAGAGCTATCTCACCAGCCCTTGTCCAACATTTTAAACTGACAATTCTAACCTGAACTCAACAAACTCAAATGTCATCATTAAAAGTAGTCCCGTGATGGGCATGGATGTTTCCACAACATTCCACCACCACTCAAAAGGCTGAGACAGTGCCGGGCGGTGGTGGCACACGCCTTCAATCCCAGCACTGGGGGGAGGAGGGGCAGAGCCAGGTGGATCTCTGTGAGTTCGAGGCCAGCCTGGTCTACAGAGCGAGATCCAGGACAGGCACCAAAACTACACAGAGAAACCCTGTTTTGAGAGAGAGATAAAAAGGGGGGGTGGGCTGAGACAAAACTAAGAGTTTAAGGCCAATCTGGGCAAGACCCTATCTCAAAACAACATCAACAACGTCACCCCAAAAGTCCAACTGATACAGTAGCATGTCATTTTTTTTTTTTTTTCGTTTTTCGAGACAGGGTTTCTCTGTGTAGCTTTACGCCTTTCCTGGAGCTCACTTGGTAGCCCAGGCTGGCCTCGAACTCACAGAGATCCACCTGGCTCTGCCTCCCGAGTGCTGGGATTAAAGGCGTGCGCCACCACCGCCTGGCTTGCATGTCATTTTATTGTGTACAAATTTTAAGTGCACCAGCTGCAAAGCTGACAGAAATAAGAGCAAATCACTCAGCAGCTGACCAGCCAATGCCTATCTACAACTCTGCTGGGTTTGATGCTTTATTCCTGAGGAAGGCATGCTCTCAAAGAGTCATCTGCCGTACTTACTCCCATATATATGCAGGGCTCAACAACGCACAAGTGTTAGGGATGTGTCTCAGTGGTGGAGCACTTGCCCCACATCCAACAGGCCCTAAGTTCAATACCCAGTACCTCCAAAAAGACAAAACGATTCACCTCAGTAGCAAAACGTGTGTGCCAACCTGCACCCCACCCCCGGGACCTGAAGAGAAAAACCTTACAGCAGTGGTGGCCATGGGGAATGTAACGCAGGCACCAGGTGCGCCGGTGCACACCTCCACAGAACGAGAACCCGAGAGGCAGCGGCAGGCACATCTCTGCGAGTTCAAGGCCGGCCAGGGTTACACAGTGAAACTCTGTCTCAAAAGGAAGGTGCGGGTGGGAGACAGAGAGTAACTAGATAAGAACAGGGCATAGTAGTACATGCCTATAATCTCCACATCCAGACGGCTGAAGCAGGAGGGTCACTACAAGTGAGGCCAGCCTGGGCTACATAATGTAAACATATCTCAAAAAAAAAAAAATAGGACAAATAAACGGTAATCAGTTTACTTAACCCCATATACTAAATAATCATTTTTAAGGTCAACATACTCAAACTGTTATTTCAATATGTAATCAGCAAAAAATTGTGAGCTGTGTCCTTTTTTTTTCCTTCATCTCTCCACATTAAGTCATTCAGACTTACAGAATTTGAATAGCTAGCTACTGGCTGCCATATTGAACAGAATAGTTCTACACCTGGTCTGCCCAAAATCAAGGTCACATACAATGAAACCATAGAGTCCTACATGACGGACCATGCCTGCAATTTTAGCCCTTGGAAGGTGAAGACAAGAGGGTCAGGAATTTAGTCACCTCTGATACATAGCAAGTTCAAGAATACCCTTAGCTATAAGAGGTCATGTTTCAAACAAATAAAACCAAAAAAACTATCATGTACAGGATTCAGACGATGTTTCTGTCAACGGTTGCCATGACAATTTAGTGCAATCATGTATTTAAATAAGGCTCACAATAAACCCATAATGAGTATGTCCTTCCTCTTAATAGTACTGATTCCTTTCTGGGGGTGTGGCTCAATGGTAAAACTGCCTAGAATCCCCAAGTGAGGGGCTGGGGGTGTGGCTCGGTGACAGAGCACGTATACAATATGACAGTAGCCTGTTGGTATCCTCTAACTACTGCCTACTTTACCACATGTTTAAAAGACACTGTCAAACGATCTAGTGTAAACTGGAAATGAATACACCTACTCTGGAACCAAGGTACCAAGATCCCTCCAGGACTTCGACGGTTAAAAGTTCACTTTTTACCCTGATCCCTCATTTCCCCCACTCCCAAACTGTAGATGCATTCCAAGCGACGCCCATAATCCGGGCGACTTGCCGATCCCGACCCCCGATGCCATTCAACAGCCATGCTCTCCTCACTTGCGAACGTATTTCCGGGCTTCATTCTGGTCATAAAACTGTCGGGAAGAGAAAGACACATGGGATATGAGGGGAAGAATCCCAAAACTAAGCATTCTAGAAGAAGATTAAGGCCTGACAAGACGCTCACCAGCTCTGGCGGTCCGCTGTGCTCAGGTCTCCGGCTCCGAGACGCCATCTCCAGGGTCCCGCAGCACGCTGCTGCCGGCAAGCCCCAGCGCGATGCTTTGACGTCATCAACCCCGCGACCGCCTGGCAGCGCTTACGCTCTAAGCTTTCCCCGCCTTTCCTTCCATTTGATTGGCTCCGAGGCGGAGGCGCCGCTCACGATGCGCGGTTTCCATTGGCTGGCTGGGCGGCGCCCTGCCCCCGCCACGACATGGCGGCCGCGCGCTGCCTGGGCTGGCCGCTGTCACCTCTATGGAGACTGTGGCAGCCCCGGGGCTTGCCACGGAGTTCGGCCCCGGGCTTGGGCCCGCGAGGGAGGGCTTACTCCCGCACCGCCCTCTATGAGCTGCTGGGCGTCCCCCCGACGGCCACGCAGGCACAGATCAAAGCGGCGTACTACCGGCAGAGCTTCCTCTACCATCCGGATCGCAACCCCGGCAGCACCGAGGCCGCCGAGCGCTTCACGCGCATCTCCGAAGCTTATCTGGTCCTGGGCAGCACCGTCCTCCGTCGCAAGTATGACCGAGGTCTGCTCAGAGACCAGGACCTGCGCGGACCCGGCGTCAGGCCCTCCAGGACACCCCCGGCCGACCCCACCCCTCCCCAACCTCCTCCCTATACTCCTCGGGCTCACGGAGGCACTCGGGCCTCTACCGGCGACCGTCGCACTATGTTCGACTTTGACGCCTTCTACCAGGCGCACTATGGGGAACAGCTAGAGAGAGAGCGGCGTCTGCGCGCCCGGAGGGAAGCCCTTCGCAAAAAGAAGGAGGGCGGATCCAACAAGGGGCTCCGCTGGGACGATACCCGAGATGCCACTTTCTTTATCCTCATTTTCCTCCTCTTCGCCTTCTTCGGGTCCCGTGTTTAATCGGAGAAAAGGAGGGAAGAGGAACCAGCCCAAGAAACTTGCTTTTCTTGACTTTTGAACTATTGGTTGCCTTTCTTAACCTTTGAACTATTGGTCTTGGATTGAACTGACTACCTCTAGGGCGGTTTCTTGACTCTCCTAGCACCTTCCCAGCCTGGCTGGTGATCAACACATCCTTCTCCTATGGTCCAGAAAAAGAGGCTCTTCCATGGCCAAAAAAGAGCCCCCAGGATGAAGACACCCGAAAACTAGACATTTAAGTGCTTTCCGGAGTCCCCTGGATGCCGGTTTGTTTCTAGAAGTTGCCTTCCAGATGTCAACTCCCAGAACCGTTGCTCTGGTTTTATCCAGAGGCCCTGAGCAAGCTTTGTCTTGTGCCCTGCCACATGTTTATACCATGGGGCAGCACATCCTCTGTAACCTTTGAACAGTGCAATACTACTGGGTTGTCCGCTGCCAAAGAGATTTAATTCTTGGGGCGTGCATGAAACTTGTCTTTCTGTGTTACCCCAAGCCACAGGTGAGACTTGATCAACGCTCCAGCAGACGCTGGGGATGTGCCTAGCTCAGTGAGAGAATGCTAGCATGCAGCAGGTACTGGGTTCAGTCCCCAGCACTGCTAAGGTCCTTCCGTGGCCCCCTTCCCCGCCAAGAAAAAAGTTAGTGCAAGATTCCCATTTTACTCAGGTCTGTTTCACACCACCTCTGTCAGGTGGGAGCCGGAAAACAAAGCCCTGGAGTATGACGAGTATGTGTGCGTCCATATTTATCCAGGGTGTGACCTTGGGGGAAGGTGCCCTGTGGGTGTAAACACAGAAGAGTAAATAATTTGCTCTCCTGAGATCTGTCACTATGACTCATATTCGACTCCACAGTGGTGATGTAGGGGGATGCTAAGGGGCCAAGTCCGTCTTGGGACAGTGTGCCTGCCTGTCCTTGGTCTGCCTTTCATTGTAACTGTGTGGCCTGCTCACTGTGACAAGACTTGGAGCTTGAGTTCCTGAGTGTGGCCCATGCATCTGCAGTGCTGATCACAGGTGTCACAAGTCAAATCCTGCTACCGAGAGGCTGTTGGATTGTGGGAGTAATTTTGGGCCCTGGAGCAGCCAGGAGGAGAAGCAGCAGGAGGCTCGCTGGTTAAGGTGGAGATGATGTCCAGAGTGTAGTTATAGGCCTCTGATCGATGGAGGACGCTGAGGCTGGAGGATTGTGACCAATTACATAGCAAGACTTGTCTTTAAAAAGATATAAAATGATGGGCATAGTGGCTCACACCTGTAATCACACCTTTAATCTTGGGGGGGGGAGAAAAAAAAGATACAAAAAAAGTTGAAAACTAGATTCCTCATATGCTGCTGACCAAGGATTGTAATGAGTTTTTGGGAGAGTTGTCATTTGGATTTGGGGGAAATTTCTGTTGTTTTGTTTTGTTGAGGTACTGTCTAGTAACCCAGGCTGGTCATGAACTTTCTTTGTGCCTAATACTGAACTTTTTTTTTTTAAAGATTTATTTATTTATTAGGTATACAGTGTTCTGTTTTGCATGCACACCAGAAGAGGGCATCAGATTATGAGCCACCATGTGGTTCCTGGGAACTGAACACAGGACCTCTGGAAGAGCAGTTAATAATCTTAACCTCTGAGCCATCTCTCCAGCCCAGAGGTGTTGCTGGAGAGCTTCTCTCCAGGTTCCACCAAGCCCCGCAGTCCCACAATCCACGTATAAAATAATCACTCAGATGCTTATATTACTTATAAACTGTATGGCCATGGCAGGCTTCTTGCTAACTGTTCTTATAGCTTAAATTAATCCATTTCCATAAATCTATACCTTGCCATGTGGCTGGTGGCTTGCCGGTGTCTTCACATGCTGCTGGTCATGGCGGCAGCTGGCAGTGTCTCCCTGCCTCAGCCTTCCGCTTTTCAGAATTCTCTTCTCTCCTTGTCCCACCTGCTTCCTGCCTGGCCACTGGCCAATCAGTGTTTTATTTATTGACCAATCAGATCAATTTGACATACAGACCATCCCACAGCCCAGAGGTCCCCTTCTGACTCACATTGGGAATGAGCTAGGACATCGTAAGTACACTGACTGGGGGCATGTGTAAAGCCGAGACAAGAGAGATCCACAGCAGAGCTCAGGATGTGGCTCAGTTGGTAGAGTGTTTGCCTGGAATGCACAATTCCCTGGGTTCCACCCCCAGCACTCTATAAACCAGGCTTGAGGTGGTGTAATCCCAGCACTTTTGTGAACCACAGACTGGCCTAGAACTTTCCATCCTCTGCCTCAGTCTCCTGAGTGCTAGGATTTCAGGCATGCGCTACCACATCCACAGGGGTATCGGACGCTTTCTGGAGGACACCACGCATGGTTTCCTTGGTATCGTTTTATCTTCCCTCCTCCCAAGACCGTATTGGGTTTCCCTTCCCCTACTTCCTGTGTGCCCTGGCAAGGGGGGTAAACTTGGCGATGGACATTAGCCCATGCCTCCGGATCTGGCAATGGAGGTAGTGGGTGAAGAGGTGTGTCCCTGTGCAGAGCAGGGGTAAGCAGCAGGCATGGAGCTGAAGTGTGCAGGCTCTGACAAGCTGACAGGAACCAAAGATCGTGCATCTGGGGATTGTCTTTTAGTCAGACTGCTAAAATGGGCAAACTGGACAAAATACCCTTTTATACTGACACAGTGGAGGTATAACCGGATTCCTTCCTTCTGAATTCCTTCCCATGATACAGCTTTGCCCTCTGTCACCGTTCCAGTATCAGTCAAGACAGGACGTGATAGCGTGTGTATATCCCAGCCTGTGGCCAGCTGAAGCAGGAAGGTCTCCAGTTTAAGGCCAGCCTAGGCTAGATAGTTGAGACCCTGTCTCAAGAAAAAGGTCGAGGGGGGGCCTGGTGGTGGACTGGGGAAGCCGAAGCAGGAGGATGACCCATGAATTTGTGGACCCGCTGGGTCTACATAGTGAATTTCAGAGGGCTATATAGTGAGGCCCTATTTCAAAAAGGAAAGCGGGGTGGGAGTGGGGCCTGTGGATGACCTGGTGGTTAAGGAGTTTGCCTTGTTCTGTCCCGGGACCTCCATGGTAGGAGGAGAGAACTGTCTACAGAAGTTCTCTTCTGACCTCCACAGAAACACAGTGGTGTGTGCATGTGTGTGCATGTGCACCCCCACACCTCACACACAGACAAAATAAACGTAGTAAAAAGAGATGTGTAGCTTTAGGCCGGGGAGTTGTTTTCTGGGTCACGACTAAGGAGACCCCCACAGCACCACAGGAATGGCCACTAACACACGTTTTGGGAAACAAGAGGTCCTGTATCTTGAACCTATGCGAGGTCACGAGACCCTAAGAAGAGAGAGAAGGACCAGCCGGCAAGTCACAGGCCTTGTGGGTGAGGATGCAGAAACCTGGGAATGTGGCGGCTCAGCTGGTAAGGTGTTTGCCTGGCATTCACAAAGCCCGGGGTACCAACTGCCGAGCTATATACACTGAGCGTGGTGGTGAGACCTGTAATCACAAGAGGATCCCAAGTTCAGGTTTAAGGCTAGCCTAGGCTACATAAGGCCTGTCTCGAAATAAATAAAGGAAAATTAATCTCAGACTTTGACTGCTCTCAGTTCAGCCTCCCTGGGATGAAGTCATACTTCCATCTGCCTGTGGATGACATCATAGGGTGCACCCGCCTCATTGGGTGTTACCCCTCATGTAGGTTAGCTCTCAGATCCAACTTGCAACTTAGGTAAGGTACTACCTTACCTGTAGAGCCTCTGAGTTGGTAAGTAGTGCCCTTCTCTGTGTTAAAACCATAGTGAGCACCAGGAACAGAACACACCGGAAGCCCTGGGTTCCATCCCTAACATGGCATCGGTGGAAATGGTGGTGCCATCTGCAAGTCCAGTACACACGACGCAGGGGAAGAAGGATGAGACGCTCAGGGTCTTCTCCAGGTGCTGTGGTGGTGCACGCCTTTAATCCCAGCATTCAGGAGGCAGAAGCAGGCTGATATCTGCCTCTGAGGCCAGCCAGGGCTACGAAGTCAGATCCTGTCTCAAACCATAACAACAAAGAACTAAAGGCAGGTTAGAGAGTTGGGGGCTTTGTGATTTGGTTCTGTAGTTAAGAGCATGCACTGCTCTTGTAGAGGGCCGAGGTCCATTCCCAGCACCCATATCAGGTGGCTCACGATGGCCTGTAACTCCAGCTTCAGGGGATCCAACACCCTTTTCTGGTCTCTGTGGATACTGCACCAACACATAAGACACAGACACACTGGTACATAAAACAAATAGCTGGGTGGCGGCAGTGGCGGCGGCAGCCCACCTTTAATAAATCCCAGCACTCGGGAGGCAGAGGCAGGCGGGTCTCTGTGAGTTCGAGGCCAGCCTGATCTACAAAGCAAGTTCCAGGACAGCCAGAGCTACACAGAGAAACCGTGTCTTAAAAAAAAAAAAAAAAGACTCTTGTTCTGGAGCTGATGAGATCACTCAGCAATTAAGAGCACTGTCTGCTCTTCCTTCCAAAGGACCTGGGTTCAATTCCCAGCACGCACATGGCAGCTCACAACTCTTTGTAAGTTCCAAGGGATAAGGAATCCAACATACACAGATATACATGCAGGCAAAACACCAATGCACATTAAAAAATTAAAAAGGGAGAGAGGCAAAAATGGAGTAGAGCCCCACAGCCTGCCGGGACTTGTGTTTAAAAGAAAAAAAATATATAAAATAATTCTCTAAAAAGAAAAAGTATGGCCAGGTGGTGGTGTACACCTTTAATCGAAGCACTCGGGAGGCAGAGGCAGGCTGACCTCTGTGAGTTTGAGGCCAGCCTGGGCTACAGAGTGAGTTCCAGGACAGCCAGGGCTACACAGAGAAACCCTGTCTCAAAAAAACAAAAAGAAAAAAGAAAAAGGATGAAGCATTTGGGCCTAGCTTGGGCTACACATGAGACAGTGTCCAAACAATCACATAAAGACCACATGAGAAAGAGAAGCTGAATGACAGAGAAAGAGGGGGCGGGAACATTTCTCGTAGAAACGAACTGCTTTGCTTCTTCACCGTGCTGCCCCCTGCAGGGATTTGAGTTTGATATAATAACCCATGTCTGGGCCGATGAGATGGCTCACCAGCTTACCACCAAGACTGACAACCTGAGTCACTCCTGATCCCCGGGATCTACAGTAGAAAGAGAGAACCATCTCCCACAAGTTGTCCTCTGACCTCCGCTCCTGCCTGCACGGGGCGCGTGTGCGTGTGCGCGTGCACACACACACAAATATATATATTGGTTTTTCAAGACAGGGTTTCTCTGTGTAGCTTTGCACCTTTCCTAGATCACGCTCTGTAGACCAGGCTGGCCTCGAACTCACAAAGATCTGCCTGCCTCTGCCTCCTGAGTGCTGGGATTAAAGGTGTGCGACAACACCGTCCAGCCAAATATGTTTTTTATAACCTTTGTTTTAAACAGAAAGATGATTATAAATCTTCATTTTTTTTTCAAAGCTGGGATTGAACCCAGAATTTGCACATGCTAGGCAACTACTTTGCCATCGAGACACACCCCAGCCCCTCACTGGGGGATTCTAGACACTACCTACTTTGGAGTTACAGAGTCTCAGCTCCTGAGTGTAGTCACTTGAGTCGTGGTTGGTTTGTTATCGTTTGGGAGACAGTGTATTTCTATGTAGCCTAGGGTGGCCTGGAGTCGTCTGTATTCTTTACAGGTACACTAAGGATCTTGAAGGGCTTAGCCAAATGCAGGAGTTCTTGGTACAGTCACAACCCCTCAACTCAATCCTGAGGGTAACCTGGTGTACAGTGGGATAAACCCACAGCTAGTCCAGATAGTGGAAACCATCCTTGTTTCTGGGTGATTAGGGCTAAGCTCTTAGCCAGAGCTCTGTAGAGATCATAGGCTGGTTGGTAACTACTTGACTTGGTGAACCTTGGTTGGCACATTGTTCGCTTAGCAGGGCATACTGGCACACACCTTTTATCCGAGCCCTTGGAAGGCAGAGGCAAGTGGATCTCTGAATTCAAGGCTAGCTTGGTCTATAGAATGAGAACCTATCTAAAGAAGAGGAGGAGGAAGGAAATCTATTTAATACCAACATGTTTCCTATTTGAAAAATGAGGGGCTCTGGGGAAAATATATAGAAACTGGCCCAAACAAAACCATGAGTATAAGACTTTCTGGGGCACCACCATTCCCAGAAGAATGGTTCACTGGAAGATGTTTTCACCAAGCCTGACAAACGGAGTTCAGTCCCGACATGGTGGACAGATCTGACTCCAGCAAATTAATGCGCCTGCAGGAGCAAGCACGCGTACATTTGCCCACCCACCCACTCACCCACTCACACAAATAAGTGTAATTAAACAAGCAGATCTGGGGCTGGAGAGATGGCTCAGCAGTTAAAAATATTTGCGTTTCCTCCTCTTCCAGAGGACCGGATTCAATTCTCTGAACCTACTGGGTTCTGCTCCAAAGGATCAGATGCCATCTTCTGGCATCCAAAGGCAC